AAATAATAAAAAGAGAACTGTGTTTAACATATTAAAGCTATTGATATAACTCTAATCTCTTTCTAACTATACATAACTACGTCGTCGTATGACGACAACCTGCTCACCACTCATTGTGCGCGTCTAGCAGCGATAGTGGTAATCTATGATTGACATATCTTATTACAACCAATCTTTGAGCAGCGCATAAATATTATCCTACAAGGGGATAATACTCCTTTAATATAATCCACCTCGGATAATGTTGGTAGGGTATTGTCATGCTAGCCAATATCATGTAACGGGCTACCCCGTTACAGCATCGGTCAAGAAAATCATGTTGTATATAGACTATCCATTTATCGTGTAGTTTCAAGTCAACAGATGTTACAGAGACATGTTCGTCTTTGCTCTTTGATGTTCATTGCTGAATCTTATCGATAAGAATGCGCCTTCATCCTATCCCCAGGCAGTGCAACTCACTATGCTTATTTCTTCGATTTGTTCATCGTCAATCATAGCTACTAATGATGTTCAAGTCAATTGCCAAGTTGTATATTGAAATGATAGACGACCCGGAAGCTCACAGACCGCTTAATAACTTCCGTTATTAGCAGGGTTCAATATTTCAATTTTACGCTTTCTAAATGCCTTTGTCAAGCATCAGCAATCTTAGTTAATTTGGCTTCAATGCTTGCAAGCAGTGTATACACCAACTAATTCCAAAGTTCACGCAAGTTATCTTGATCGCCACCACAAAAATTTAGAATCTGTGCGTGTCATGCTTTCTCACATTCACTCGGAAACTGATGGCTGCATATGGACTTAACATTATCCTATAAACTAGGGCTATAAGTTGTTGTTAAGAATAATCGTCCTTTGGTTTTTCGTGCAATTGCAAAATTAAGCGTGTCCACACTGGAGCACGGTAGTACCTATGTGTCTGCACTTCATTCTGCATGTGACACGCAAAAAGTATGTATTAGCAATTCCACCTCATTTAATCTTTCTTACTCCTTCACCTTGTCAAATTAATGCCTCAGACCACCTTGCATCGGCGTGTAACCACATTTATGAGTGATTGACCGAACGTGTATTTCGCACGGATCAAGCTATCCACACAAAGTTCAGTATTAATGTCTTAGATAGGTTGTTGTTGTGGACACGGCTGCGGACATCTGATAACAGTGTGGCATGCACGATAAACATAGCAGCCCTTTCAACAAATTATGCAATTTTGCACTCCGAACTAAAACCTACACGTATGCTCCATCCGGTTAAGCTCTTAAATGTGGCCTGAACACGTAGCAATACGCAAGTTTGGCTGGAACGGGAGCGAGATGGCGCCTCTTTGTTGTAGTCGTATTGCTTTAATGACGATCCCGCGTCACTAAAATTACTTTTATGTTTACGCCGAGAAAGCTGAACGTTCTAGCGTCTAACGTGCACAGCGAACTTTGGGCAACCGAACATGCGGATCACTAAATATTTGTGGACGCATGCGGCTTTGCTCCATTAGTACACAGAAAGCAAAGTCGAGGGCTAACTCAAATTTTTTCTGTCAACATGAAAATACAAGAAACAGGTTAGCATAAAAAATGAGTGTTTGATCACTTCGCCTAAGTATATTTACAGTTTATCGAAATGCACCTTCACCAACGCAAACCTGATTTAATGTCGCTTTTTGAACTCTATCCGCGGATTCTAAAATACAAGCAACATGCTAAAAAAACATGTGGGAAGCCGAAACGCAATGGACAGTCCACAAGCATGAGAGAACCACACAAAAATGGAATAGTAAGATTTTCTGTTAATATAGATTCCTACTAGCTGACTAGGAATGCTTTATAATCATATCTATTAAGGACGTTTGAACCAGTAGCCGAGTGAAGAATACTGTACAAGCGTGAAAAATCACAGTCCGCTACGATTACATTAGCACATACACCAGAATTAGCCCCTAAGCAACAACAAAAGTAGAGGTTAACACTTTTAGCGTTCGACATTATGTAAAAATCCCGCAGCATGGCCGCCCTAGCAAGATTGGAAGGAGTAATAGTCGAAGGAGTAGCCGCTACCGATCGCACTGATTACATTAGCCGGAGATAATACGCTGCAGTGTTACATCGTATGTTACGCATAATCGATACGTTCTGTTTCTTAAAAAGGACATAACGGTAAGACAGCACACTCTTTTTTGCCCCTCCTTTGTTAAAAACTCTTCTTCAGATGATCTGATGCAATGGTGTCATCACTACGCACGTCGCATATATGCCTTTCTTATATAATAGGGATGATTAAACATATCTGACCTTTGTTAAGCAATCGTAAAGCCATTTTCAGATGCATACGCGTGGCCAGGTTCTTTGGCAATCTTTTTTATTGCTACAGATTCTGGTGGAAGGGAACTAGAAAAGGGCTACTAGGGTCGCTCATTGTCGTTTGAAAAATTGTGTTTTAGGGCGGTGTGTGGACGAAATTCGCGAACTGACTGCGGTACAAACATACCAATTTATAAGTAGTACAGGAGTAAAGTATATTTGGGAAGTCGTTTTCTACTTGCAGACTATCCAGTCTGTTTGCAGCTGTCCACTTAATTTGCAGCTATTTTAACGGGGCGAGCGTGTTACTTTGTGGATAAACGGTGATACGTGTCACTTAGGATATTATCACAAAGGCTAATAATGTTCGTGAATAATACCATAACGGGTAATATTCAGAAATCCTCACCGATCGGCTGATATGAGTTATAATATCAGCCAGCTTTAGCGGTTTACTTAACGATGGACGCGCGCTATGAGTGGTGAACAAGACTTTAGTATGCTCTTTTGTAGATAGATTATATTAAGATCGGACTAAAAAAGGTTGATGATCAAAACTTAATTGTATTTCATACAGATTTACTTAATCAGCAACTAGTCAGTTCCTAATTGCTTTCCTTTCCTCTGTATACTTAACATAGGTAGCGAGGCACCACTTACTTTGCTGTACTTGATAACGCTCTACACTGGTTGCCAAGTGTGTTGCTCCGATGTCCCATTTCTGTATCCCCTGATTTGCGGCTATTCGTTTGTCGATTTTAGGTGAGCTGCTTGTATTTTAGAATGCCGCAATTTACCCGTGTGAGGTATATGTAACATTCGTACTTTACGGAATTAATCGGTGCTTAGAAGCATCCGCTACCTTTGGCTAGTTTACAACTGCTACCGTGGGAGCGTGCTGGGCCCAACCCTATAATCTCTAGGGGCTTAATGGCTATTGTTCTTGTCGCTGGACAGTCTTTAGAGAATACGACCATCTGCATCTTCTTATAATAATGCACGTACATTACGGCGAACATCCGATTAAACTACGTCTATTCGCGTTTTAGCCTAATCTTTAGGTGTGTCACTGCGCTGACCAGACAAGACACTGATTACAAACTAAGTCGATTGATTTAGCAGGTTACCGCGTCCTTAGAAATCTTGTCCGACGCTATTTGTAAATAAAGCTCATACGGATTAAAACAAGCATTGAACAAGCCAAGGACGCTTCGTACATCTACAAATTATTGGCTAGCCCCGCTTCGATAGGCTTCGCTACCAGGGTGCATCGCACCCGTTTTTGTACAAGCTCACAACAATCCGTCTGCACATTACCTGCCCAAAGTCCGACAGGATATCAATATCTTTTAAATGTTTTGCATTGTTTATATTGATATTTAGACTTCTCGCCGTAATGTAGAGGTCTAAAGGTACAGGCAGTAGTAAGTAGCTTACCAATAGGTTGTTTCGATCCCAGTAGATGAATGTGTCGGATCAACGATGACATGAACACGTTCGTACTATCATATCCGTACGTTTTAACACGTGTGTCATTGCAATCATACTGCTATCATGACAAACGTAGACGTTGTCGCAGGATTTTTCGATCAAGACTTGCCAGCCATTTGTTTTTTGGTCCGTAGAAGCAGCCAACGATAACAAAGCCCCTCGAGTTACCTTCCGCGTTCACGCAAGCATTTATTATACTGCCTATCTTAGCGTAAATTGTCTTGCTTTCCACCAAGCTTTTTGGGCGTAGCTCAACTGAGATATTCAGTTCAGCCCTCGCTACCGCATTCTGCGAGCGAGATCGATTCGCAATTTCTAACTGCGAGGCATCCCATGCATCTTTACGATTATGCTTTAAAAATCGTGCATTCTTTAGGTGGAAAAAGACAGTTATTGCGGGCCTCCATACCATCGCAATGTATCTCATTTTATAATCTCACTTGGCCAGATAAAACACTACATTACATGTAACTCTGGCAAGCACAAGTCGCAAAGTCCAGAGGTACCCATTGCGTTAGGCAATTGTTGCAAAATTCGCCAAAATTTACAATCCTGTGTACGACCTTCGAAAGAGAAATTAACGTTGCCACACAATTGCTGCATCCTTTCTATAACAAATTTTTAATAGACGTGAACCGTTCGTTTCCTGCAGCTCCGATATGTCGATGATCCTTTTGATAGAGTGGTGCGTGATTCATTTGCATCAGAAGCTCAATTTGGACGCTACGTCACCTGAGCGATAGGTTCAATTTTACGTGTTTTTATTGATGCCGCAACCAGCAATATTTTCTCTGGCAAACAGCCCCTGAATCTTCACACCTTCAATTTTCTCTTGATATCGTTTGCGGGCTTCACAGTTGTGCATGTGTGCAAGCTCTGCCAAAACAATTCATGATATGCGTAAGGCTTTCCTGCACCGCACTATTGCCTAGAGGCAAGCTACCCTGTGCCAAAAAAATTGCTGCGTTGAAAAGGAATTTTGCAGTGCGTGTAATTCCAAAAAATGACGATTCTGCCACTGCATCTGGACTTGCGACGTTGCAGCTAAGGAGCTGCTTTAATCGACAACCGCGCCTTACCCATAGAATGCGTACTCCTCAATAGCAGCCGCTGCGGCAGAGACAAACGAGCAGATGAGGGCCAAATGCTTTTGTACAAGACAATACTACTTAAGCTTGGACCATCGTACAGTCGAACAAATCCAGCACTTTAACTCGTCCACCAGGACGACAAGCCGAGACCATCTTCGTCGATTGATCCCTGTACGTGTGTGTGCAGCAAAACAAAAAGAATTCAGATAACGAGCTCAATAGGCGAAAGCAGAAATCTTACCAAGATGTGTATGGCTGATGGCGTAGGATCGTTATCCGAAAGATCTACGCTCGAAGACCGTCGGCGGGCCAATGACTGTCGCATGTCTCCTGCGCTAACGTCCTTCTCCGCCTTATCTGTTGCCTCTGTTGTCGTAGCTTGAATGCCTGAGTACACATGACAGCACGTCAACTCCATCTACATTGTGCATTACGCTCGATGCACCGACTCACCTTTAGCTGTCTTCGTCACACGCGTAAAGTTAATGTTGGTAACTCGAAAGCGAATCTCCTCGTGCAAGTCCATGTAGAACTTCTCTGCTCACATCATCAATATAGTCAGCACGTACCCTTCCTCCCTCAACTAACACTAAACAACAACTCCACGTCTGCGGCGCTACTTCACCTTGTCCATCTGAGTACTTCCACACCCACAACTTCTCTGCCGTATCACTGCGGAAACCAAGCACAACAGCAACAAACATCACCAGCAGTACAATAAAAATCACGTTAGCATTGTGCAAGCAGTAGCTCTGCCAAAACAAGAGCTCCAACAGCCTGTTTTCAAGAACAGAGTCACGCGTACTAGTACGACGGCGTCTGGAGAGCATAAGACGGTATGATAATGTCGTGCACAAAGTCCATGGATACGCGAATGTGCTCGTCCGTGCAGCTCACGATCCGTCCCTTTAGCACTTCGCCCACAAACGGACGGAAGACGATCATCCGAAATTCCACGTGCGAGTGCGACGTGCCGTCCGACGGGTGCACGAACGCGTCGCCAATGCGCACAAAGTCGTACAGCGTCACGCATAGTCCGACATCAGCGATGACTTTGTTGGCGTATTTGCGGTCGATCTCTTCAATAAGGACCTGGGTATAGTCTGCGTCAAAGAGCGACGGCGCCACAGGAATGACGTCCGATAGGCGCGTGAGCACGAACATTGGTGACTGGTGACGATGGAGCTACGTCGGGCACGGCTTAAGTCCGAATCGAGTCACTTCAGTGGTAGAAGAAGACGTCAGTGGAACAAGGGTGGGGATTAATTAAGAATGGCCGTGTGTGTTAAACCGAGGTGGTTGTGGTGGTAGAATTCACAGCATAGGCGTGTTTGAGGTGCATTGTAAAAACCGGTCAAAGCAAATTATTCGGGGAAAGGTCAGCACGACATGCAAAGACACTCGTGTCGGTCGATGCGAGAATATGCATTTTTATTCCGACACCATCGACAATAAACTAAGCCACAGCAGTAATAAGTATTTGAGTTCGCAACGGTTCACATTCTATTTTCTGTCACCACCCCAAAGGACATTCTTTGGCGTGCTCACACTAGTGCGAAGGATGAGTGTGCGCAGCTGTTGTTGCAATTTGTTAATGTGCAGCGTGACGCAAACCACTTCTAGTGCTCAGGCGTCTGCACCCTTCGTATCTACTGGCCCGTCCTTTGAGGTCAACTGGCAGGTCTACAAGCAGTGCGTGCCAAATTCAAACATCTTAGGGATTGCGACGCCCGCTGACAGTGCCCCTGACACTCCTGCCCCCGAGATTAGTAGCAAGAGCCACTACGGATGCCATGATTGCACCCTCCGTGCCGTAGACGATCCACCCACGCATCTGGCTAATTGTGCCGAGATCAAGTGGACTGGCAGCTGTCTTCTTCGCGCGTTCAAAAAGTTCGCCACGAAATTTTAGACGAGCAACTGAGTGAGAACGAGTGTAAATCGAGCGCGCTGGGCATCTAATATAGGTAGCTACGTAGCTCTCCTCAAGTTAAGTGCAGGCGTCTGTGATTTACGAGCAGGACAGTGTGGACAAATTGTAAGCAAACATAATTTTGCATGAAGCGTCAACAACACGACAATTCGCAAGACGGGATGCAGGAGCGTTTGAATAGCGAATGTATTCGCAATAAGATAGGGGAGCAAGCTCTTGAGCTCGCTCTCTAATAAAAGTAATCCAGTTCATAAAATTGAATCGAGTAGCTCAACACTATACAACAGCAGTGACTAAAGAATGAGTATCGTGGTGTAAATGTAAGTATCAACACAATACAAAAGACTCATGCAACGCGATTGTCTTCCCTCATGTCAGGCTGATATTTTGATCCAGAAAACTGCCGTGCCGACCGTAGAAAGAAAGTCCTGTGTAACGGGGCACCCTGAAGCTTGTACTGGTGACAGTACAAGCTACTTATTCTGATGACAGAATAAGGCGGTGCCTCGTAACTTCACGTACACTCGTACGTGCAAAGGAAGACGGTAAGAAGAAGCGAGTACTTGGTTAAAGCAAAAAGTAGAACTGTATTTATCATAGTTAATGTCTGTTAATAAACCACTGTTTATCCTCATCTAACAATGTCTAAATACAAATGTGTAAATCAACTATCTGCTCACCACTCATTGCGTGCGTCTGTCGTGGCGCGTCTTCGTTCGTTGATATAATGGCATATATCAACCAATTAGGAACTACTCGTAAGTGCTGCAGAAGATTTGTCCTTATGACAATATTCTGAGAATATAACTCTTATAGTTATATTCTATTAACAATTTCTTATAAATTGTTATGTAACGATTCACCCCGTTACATCACCCCCCCCTTAACCATCAGTCACTTTAGTGACTGATTGACTAAATGGATACTCGTCCCAAATCATTTGGGACAGGGTTTGCACTTGTTGGTCCGTTTCCACAGTCCATCAGTTTCATCGCATGGATAACAAGCCCATGCGGTGCGCGAACAAGGCCGCAGAGAGCGCGTCTGCACGTCTCTGTGCAGACGCCGAAGCAGAAACCGCTGCAACCGATGTGTCATCGGTTGCTAAAGCGTCTCAGCCTGTATCACCTGGTGATGCACGCGCTCGTCATGAAGACACTCATGTCTTCACTGAGTATGAGCTCGGTGTCTCATACTCTCCTAATACGGAAGACGGATCCGTATCGACGGCGATCGAATCCAAGCCGCCTGCCAAGCGTGGCATGGATGATGCTACGCGTCGTAGCATCTTTGGTTCATCTGATGAATCAGATGAACCATCGCCGAAGCGAAGGCGCTCGTGGTCGCGAGACTCGGGCGCTCACAGTGGGTGTCGGTTCCCCTCTTGACACCACTTCGCAGCGAGGTGCCAGTCCTTCTGTCGGCACGTCGCAGGAAGAGCGGGACCGCAGTGTGTTGCGTCTCGCTCCTGAGAAGAAGGCATGGATGCCTCCTAAATCTGTCATGGATCACTTGTCGGCGACGACGAGTGATCGTTATCGAACACGATTGTTCGATTCGTCAAGGATCCATCACCTTGACCCCAGCGCGAAGAACTATCGCGCTGAACACGAATTCTTCATCGATGCTTTCTTCAAACATCGATGGTACAGTGGGAATCACAAACGTGATGGTCCCTCACTACTTCAGGCGTGGAACGCCTACATCCATAACCTTGAGGATGTAGGTCGTGACGCTTGGAACGACAAACTTATCAAAGCTCGTGATAAGTTTGAAAAGCGAACCCCGACAGGTGCACGCTACAAGCTGCATCGTCTGTCAAGGGAGAAAGGGTTACCCTGCCTCTCATGGGGAGACTCGTGCCCATGTTGTGTGAACAACTCTGCACGGGCACCTAAGGAAGCTTACCTCCTTACCAGCCCGTGGTGGCGCGTACGTATCTCTACTGAGATGTACGAAGGGATTGACAACCTGAAATCCCTTTACGACCGTGCCGGGGAGACTTTCTCCGGTGGTCCTTCTGCGGCACAGGATGTGCCGCGTCGTACTGCTCAACCAGACCCAGTACGTCGATCATCAGTTGGGAGCGGGGCTTCCAAGCATCCCAGGACGGGGGGTAGCCGCGCCACCGGACGAGATAACTCGTCCGACGTCCGTTCACGTCGCGGTGGTCCAACAGCTGCTCAACTAGATAGCGCTGGCCACCGCGAGAGTCCTCTAATGGAGGTGGAGGAGGAGGAAAGACGCTCTCCACACGATCGTGGGGATCCGTGTGTTCCCGAGAGCTTCTTTGATCGCGTAACGCAAGGGTTACGCAACGATCTCGAACATGAGCGGGACAGGCGTCTCCAAATGGCGGACACTGTCTTGAAGCATCGAGCTGAGTTTGCTTTTGCTCAGCTTGAGAACGAGAGAGCTCTGACATTTCTACGTGACGATCTAAGGGTAGCTCGTGGGTTTGTTGATCGGTCTCGGGATGAGATAACTGCTCTTCAGACCCTTGTCGATGTCCACCATCGGGAGCACAAGGCTCTCTGCGAGATGCTTGAGCGCAAGGGCGTTCTTCATCGGAAGAAGCAGCGTACTGATGGTACGGCTTAAGCCGACCAACGTAAAACGTGGGATGCGTTCGCATCTTACGTGGTAACTCGATCGTGTATGCATTGACTAGGCGGTGCAATACACGAAATGGGCCGATGTACTTGGGTAGAAGTTTACTACTACCCAAGTTAGTCACTACATGCTTTGGTAGATTAACCGTAGACAGTAGGACTAAGTCACCTTTATTAAATAAAAGAGTGTTTGCCCTTCCATTCTTGTCTGCGTTTTGCTTTTGCTTATCCACCGCTTCGGCGATGGAGTCTTGCACAGAACGGACTACCGTTTCACGAGCCAGTATGAATTCATCTAATGACTCGTTAGCTTCAGTGCGCTGTGAGTGCACTGCAGCGACATCAATCGTTTCTGCAGTGAGGGCTTCCGCGCTCTCACTGGCATCATCATCTTCGATATCGATGTTATCGATATCGGCATCAAACGCAATGACCTCATCGTCAGAGCGTGATAAGCGTGAACCAAATCGGTTTTTGCTCGCGCGAGTCTCTCCTCCCCTTACACCAGAGTTACACTCTAGTAAGGTGGGTACACGCGTATGGCGCAATCCATTCACTTAAAACGGTGTATGTGTCGTGGACGCATGCACCGAGTTGTTGATGGCAAACTCTACCATGGGCAAGAACTCACTCCAACTCTTAAAGGAGTGTACTTATCCTCGAAGTATCTCTTCAAGGACACGATTGGCTTGTTCCGTCTGACTATCTGACTCAGGGTGATTAGATGTCGACATCTTCAAGCGCGTTCCGAGTGATTTGAACACGGAGCGCCAGAAAGCAGCTGTAAAGCGTGGATCTCTGTCTGATACGAGTTCACGGGGCAACCCATGAGGTCGGAAGATGGTGTCAATAAAGACACGAGCACATCCACTTGCCGTGATTGACTCTGGTACAGCCACAAGGTGTACCATTTTGCTGAATCTGTCAACAAATACGAGAATACCCGTATTCCCGCGTGCGTCTTTGGGTAACCCGAAGACGAAATTAATTGAGATGGATTCCCAGCACTCTGCCGGAACTGGTAGAGGCTGTAAAGGTGCGCGCAGTGAAGGACTTGACTTCACTCGTTTACAGACTTCGCATGCGCGAACGTACTTTCGCACAAACTGATACTGGCGAGGCCAGTAAAAGTCTCGACTCACCGTGAGATTTGTTTTCTCCCGGCCACGATGTCCTCCTATAGAAGCATCGTGATACTCGAACATGATCCTCAAACGCAGATCAGTATCATCTGGAATGACAACACGTGGTGTGTCACCAGTAACGGCTGTATAATACAGTAAACCGTTGCGAGTAGAGTATCGATCTGATGCAGATCGATAAGCAGACGATAATCGTTTCAACGATTCTCGAGATGGTTGTGAGAGATAAGCCAACAACTTCACAATCTCACCATCTTGGGCGTATGCCCGCCTCACATCATCATACAACGTTGAAGATGGTATGATGGACGTCATAACCGCAACAGTGGCTGTCTCACGCTTGGGTTTCACGACTGGTTCAAAGTTGGGCCGACGTGAGAGTGCATCAGCGACGACATTAAGCCGTCCTGGTTTGTACTCAACCGTAAAGTTGTATTCTGCAAAGAATGACAACCACCGCGCCATTCGTTGTGAAAG